CTGTTATGTTAAACTTATATTAAAGTTTTTCTTCATTACCCATTCAAGCCGTCTCCAACCATTATTATATATATATATTGTTCTAACTGACTTAAATTGATATGTATGTTAATTCTAAACCCTGTAGAATACTAGACTGACATTACTACACCATGGAAACCAAAACAATTTACAGTACTCAAAATATGAAAGAAAAATTTCTATATGTAATTAATTTGTCCAAAAATATGTTGCATTTTAAAAGTTATGAATAAAACCTGAATACTTCACTTCAACATTTTCAAAAGCAGATAAATTCAAACAAGTCAACTTTAACACTACAGTTGTGCATCCTACCTTGTGTTATAGTCCAAAATAGGATTTTCTGGCTTCACTAAAGCTTCATAAACAGGCTGGAGTGTTGGACCAATCACCGTTATTCTTGTAAGTTCTATACCTGCTGTTGTGTAACACTGAAATGAGCAATAATAGGGTAATTACTGTTCTTGTTGAAAGTTCTATATCCACTGTTGTGTAACACTGAAATGAGCAATAATAGGGTAATTACTGTTCTTGTTGAGAGTTCTATATCCACTGTTGTGTAACACTGAAATGAGCAATAATAGGGTAATTACTGTTCTTGTTGAGAGTTCTATATCCACTGTTGTGTAACACTGAAACAAACAATAATACGGCAATCACTGATGAAGGTGAGAATAGTGGTAAAACTTATGATAGAAAATACAACACATTAAACAGAGAAAGGTTGAATTATGTGAGAGTTATCAGAATCCATTACAAGTCTTTTGTACACAGATAAAGTATTTCTACTAAAGGTTAGTGTGTGAATTTAATGAGTCAGTTTGACACAGACTTTGACTAGTCTGAGAGCACAGTGATTTTCATGCCTAGAATAAAAACATTTTTTTCCGTGTTACAGTTTTATGTTTCATATAAATTATCTCTAGACCATCCGAAACAAATATCAAAAGGTTTTTACAGTAAAACTTTATATATTTTACCTCTTATTTTTTCTCCTCAACACTAACTGTATATGAGCTCAGTCAATCTGACTGACCTTATAACCACCATGTAATACAAAATCTAAATTCCCCTTTGCTTTATCTATGCTGACTGCATATTGTAACAGACAACTACACTAATTATCCTAAAATATTCAGTCTTATGACCTTTTTACGATTGCTTTCATTTTATTTTATTATTCTACATACTTAAACAGTGTAATAAAGCAGTAACTCGCAAGGCGAGAGCATGGTGCATGTCACGGTAAAAAAAAGTATTGAATTACGTCGTGCACGAGCAGCTTGTGCACTTTCCTCAATGAGAAATATTTTTATTAAAATTTTCTTATTTAACCTACCAAGTTTCTAATTTCTAATCTAGTAACTTTTATAACAATAAATAAAAAATACACATTAAAACAAAAAACTAGTACCTACGTATGTAAGGACACTCGATCATTAGTCTCAAAACATTTATCTTCTTTTGTTTTTGGTAGGAATGTTGGTGGTAGATATTAATTTATTTCAAATTCAATTATGCAACTTAGAATACAAAATACTGAGAAGCATAAAAAAATAGAATGTCTTAGAACTCATAACTTAATTGGCTAACAAAGAAAATGAGGCCAAATTTTCCAAAACATGTTGGTTGAATGATCCTGCCTTGTAGATATGCAGTATATCAAAGGCCTCTCTTTATGAAACATAGAATGTCCTAAATAAAACTTGTATAATATATCTGGTTTTCTAACTGACATAGAAATAACTTAAAATAATTCCCATACCACGACAATAACATTCAAAGAAAATGATGCCAAGATGTTTAGGTCTGCTTAGTCCAAGGCCTTCATACACTATAGCTGTCAGTTAAGTGATATTTCTGCTTTGAAGTAGTACGATAGCAATTGTCTGAGAGAACTTGTAACAAATTTTGAAAGCAAAATTGTCTGTGGAAAGCATGGCATGTGGCCTTTACTTATTGCTTATATTTCCATAAAGCAAAAATTGAGAGTTTAGCTCCGGAATATGTATAGTATAAGTGAGAAATTCCATGGAAAGTTACAATACTGAAATGAATAATTTGGTCTGAAGAAGTTTCACGTGATACAGAAACTGAAATTTAGCATTTACTTCCATATATACCATTAAAAATAATAAATTACAATATTTGTAACATGAAAATTTTAACAATAATCTACGCCAAGATTACTGACATAAATTAAAAGTAAAGGTCACGACGTGCACATTTTGAGAGGGATAATGCAGATTTACAACCCTCGACACTGTTAACAAGGGCAATAAATAATTAAATGTAGAACACTTGGATGAAAACTTTGAAATATTTCCTTGAATAACAACATTTTCCATTTATGGAAGGGTGAAATATAATTCTTTAACACCAAAACCGACAGGAAGTTGTCGTTTATTTGTTTTAAACTTACTCACCATTTCACAGTCTAAAGAATAGACTTTATAGTCTCCATTAATGGGAGGTGTTTTGGGAAGTGTCTTCACAAATCCTTTCAATACATCTTCATCATAACCTTCATGAACATGTCCCTAAACATTTTCAAGAAAAAATTTCTCATACTACATTTTGTTCCTGAAGCCAGAAAATACAGTTAATTAATTATTAGTAATACACAATCTGAGAAGAATTTAAAGGACAAAAGAAATAGCTGTGGATTTATTAAGAAGTCTTCCTACATATTCTACTTCTGATATAGTTGAACAAATAGTTAAAATTGCATGATAAGATAGCTAACAAAGTAAAGAATACGACTTACAGCAGCCACACAACAGCCTTCTGACTGAGTATCACCTTGACAACAGGAGTATCTGCTCTCTATACTACCTGCAACTAAAAGTAATTAAAAGTTAATCAGAAGGCAAATAAAGAAAAAAAATATTAAGTTGTGTACATGATAATAGAATGATCTGCTCCACACTTCTGTAATAAGAAAATATTCAATTGGGAACTTGACAACAAAACAATCTGTTCTCTATACTTTTGTAATGAGAACTAAATAGTGAAAATATTTAATTGTATACTTTGCTACACAACATTTGCATCATAGAAGTTTTTTAACCAAGAATTCATTAGTAATATTTAATTGTATACTTGGCACCACAACATTTGCATCATAGAAGTTTTTAACCAAGAATTCATTAGTGATATTTAATTGTATACTTGGCACCACAACATTTGCATCATAGAAGTTTTTTAACCAAGAATTCAATAGTGATATTTAATTGTATACTTGGCACCACAACATTTGCATCATAGAAGTTTTTTAACCAAGAATTCAATAGTGATATTTAATTGGATATCAGAAGAATCTGATCCTTTCACTTTTTTGTATCAAAAACTAAACAGTGAGAAATATTCAGCTGTATGCTTGATAATACTTAATTGCTATCTAAAAGAAATATGCAACTACACAATTATTTATAGGTTTTAATATTTCTTTCAGACATTGATGATTTACTCTGATGCACCATTCATCTGTTTACTCACCCTAATGTTATACATAGAAAATATTAATGGCTGATTTACCATCTAACAAAAATGTTTCCTAACCACATTAGATCCATAAATGTTCGTTTATTCGAACTTACTTCTCTTCTTCCAAACACGGCCCCAATGGTGAACACATTCTTCTTCTTTCACATATTTCTTTCTAATATTTACACGGTAAACAGTCTGGCAACGGCTGCAAGTCCTCTCGAATGCTGCATAGAAGAAATGTGAATACAGTATGTGTTAATCAACAAAACAGGTTTCTTAATGTTATGTGTTAATCAACAAAACATGTTTCTTAATGTTATGTGTTAACCAACAAAACATGTTTATTAATGTTATGTGTTAATCAACAAAACATGTTTATTAATGTTATGTGTTAATCAACAAAACATGTTTCTTAATGTTGTGTGTTAATCAACAAAACACGTTTCTTAATGTTGTGTGTTAACCAACAAAACACGTTTCTTAATGTTGTGTGTTAACCAACAAAACACGTTTCTTAATGTTATGTGTTAACCAACAAAACACGTTTCTTAATGTTGTGTTAATCAACAAAACATGTTTATTAATGTTGTGTTAATCAACAAAACATGTTTATTAATGTTGTGTTAATCAACAAAAAATGTTTATTAATGTTGTGTTAATCAACAAAACATGTTTATTAATATTGTGTTAATGAACAAAACATGTTTCTTAATGTTATGTGTTAACCAACAAAACATGTTTATTAATATTGTATTAATCAACAAAACATGTTTCTTAATGTTATGTGTGAATCAACAAAACATGTTTATTAATGTTCACTTATATAATTTTGAGAACTATTTCTTAATCCATTTACCTATACCAAGGTTAAAAACAAAATTTTCAGTCTCTCTCTCTTCCCTGGTTTTTATCAATACGACTGACATCAACACTACTGACCTTCAATTTTGTGCCAGTTTCTTATGCAAATAATAGTATAAATAATCACTAATACTTATTGTTAACAAAAATTACTTTTAGACAGTATTTTAGTTGCAATTGGTTTTTGTCTGTCTTTATTCTATAAGATATATGTTCATTTTAAAGACAAATTGTATTTGATAGCAGTACAATTCGAAGAATGTTTAAGTACTACTCAAGGAGTCAACTCCTACACCCATGTACTACTGAAGGGGTTGACTTGCATGGGTGCAAGTACACCCATGCAATCTGACACTATGTTTTAATAGTCTTCTATCACCACTAACAACATTAATGATAAAATCCCATGAAATCTAATGGCATGTGCTAAAAGTTTTGTGTCACTACTAATGGCATCAATGATAATCTGATTATACAATTCTTTTGAAAAGTTTTGTGTCCCTTCTGATGGCATCAACGATAATCTGATTATACAATTCTGGGTTTGAAAAGTTTTGTGTCCCTTCTGATGGCATCAACGATAATCTGATTATACAATTCTGGGTTTGAAAAGTTTTGTGTCCCTTCTGATGGCATCAACGATAATCTGATTATACAATTCT